AGTGAAGCTTTCAGACTAAACTGATCTCGAGAGACTTGGAGATCTACTTCTGAAAATCAGCCAGGCTCAGGACCCAGCATTGTTTCTTTCCATTGTGCGCGGGGTCGCCATGAGTTGGGGCCGACTAGATGGTGACTAACAACAGCAGTAACACCCATTCCCATTGGTAGAAGTGAAGGAGACAGACTCAAAGGCCAGTAATTATAATGCCAACTCAGTAATGTAAGTGTTTACTATAAAGGACTGTATACTTCAAAGGGATTGCCATGAGGCGGAGGAGACCAAGAGCAGATACTTAACAGAATTGTGGAGGAATCTGGAACCTAGAGGGCGTAACCATTTGTCATTGAGTCGATTCCAACTCACGGAGACCCCATGTGTGTCAAATAGTAAAACGTGCTGTACAGGGTTTTCAGTGGCTGATTTTTTGGAAGTAGATCACTAGGCTTTTCTTCCGAGGCACCTCTGGGTGGACTCAAACCTCCAGCCTTTCAGTTAGCAGCAGAGCATGTTAACCATTTGCACCACCCATGGGCTAATAGTGAAGATAAAAACCAGGTTAGTCAGGATATGGGACAGAAGTCAGGGAGCAGAAAAGGAAAACATGGCATTCTTGATTTGTAGGATAAAGTTGTTTCCAGAAATTATGAGATCTACTATCAAGGGCAGCCAAGGTGGGGACAAGGGGAGGTGTTCAGACTTGGGAAAGATAGGGGTCGAGAATCTAAGAAGACAGACAGGCTACTGGAGAGGCCTCACTGTGGGTGCTGAAGCAGCCCAGAATGAGGGCAAGGAAGGGGGCAGCTATGAGCAGTGTATCTCAGAGACTTCGAGGATGGCCAGCTGATGAAGGCCATGAGGACGCAAGGGGGTGGTCAGGCTTGGTGTGGATGGATCCCAAAGGTGGAGGACAGTGATCTGAAGATACCCATGGGGCCTTAGGAGAAGGCTGAGCTGTCTTACAGCACAGAATGAGCAGTAGGGGGTATGGAGGCAGGGTGGGGGATATCAGAGAGCCCGCTGACAGGAGGTCCAGATCCAGAAATCTCCATGCAAGAGTTCTTGGGAGTCGTGGGCTGGGGCAGAGGCAAGGAGGGCAGGAAGGAAGAACAGACAGAGTCAATGAAGGGGCAGTAGATTGTAGTACCATCTATAATCTGTGGGGGAAGGGAACCTGATTTCATCTTCTTAGGGAGCAGCAGGTAAACACAGGCAGGCAGGGCCCTGGAGCCATGAGGCTTACGGTGTTTATGAAGTCCACCAAGAATCCATAGACACCATATGTGGATTTAATGGGCACAGCTTGACCAAAGTAAACGATGCCACTAACACGCACACAAGAGAAAAGGATGTTTGTGCTAAAGAATATGACATATGTAATTTGGCGACAACACCAATAACAACCACAAAATGAGTGTATGGTCACGTACGTGGGTGTATAGGCACATATGTGTATGGGTGGGTACAGGTGTGTGCATATGTGTGCACAGATGCAAGTGTCTATATGTATGTGTACATAGAGATAAGTGTGTGCATGCATATATATTCATAGAGGACACAGTTACAGATACTTCTCAGACATAACCAAACACCTTTTGAGATTGGTTTTCTGGATTTGAAGGCTTAGGACCTTAGTTTCATGAGACAACTCAGTCAATTGGCATTATATAGTTCACAAAGCTCATGTTCTACATCCTAGTGAGGTGAGTAGGGTCTGGGGTCTTAAAAGCTTGCGATCAGACATCTAAGATACAACTATTGGTCTGTACTCATCAGGAGCAAAAGAGAAAGAAGGAAACCAAAGAAAAAAACTAGTCTACAGGGCTAACAACCTACATGAGCCACAGCCTCATGTACCCTGAGACCAGGAGAACAAAGATGGTGCCCGGCTACTTCCACCAACATTCTGATCAGGGTCACAATAGATGGACCCGATAGAATGGGAGAAAAATGTGAAACAGAACTCAGGTTCTTAAAAAGTCCAGACTTACTGGACCAGTTGAGACTAGAGGACTCCCTGAGGCTATCTCCCTGAGACACTCTTTAAACCCTGAACCAAGTCTATCCCCTAAGGTCACCTTTTAACCAAATGACAGATTGGCACACAAAATAAAAGATATTACCCATGAGTACTAAAAAACCATCTACATGAGACCAAAAGGTCAACAATTACTCCAAAGTAAACATAAGAAGATAAGGAGGCAGGGAAACTAGAGAACTAGAAATCAAACAACCAGAACACAATTAAAGAGAATTGTTGACACATTGTGAAAAATGTAACTATTGTCACCAAGCAATTTTCATAGATGCTGTCAAATGGTAACCTAATTTGCTGTGTAAACTGTCACAGAAAACACAACGAAATATTATTTTTAAAAAAGAAAATTCATAGAAACCTGGAGAGACAGCACTAGAAATGACTCAAATACCCACTGATTCAATCTCCTCATTTTATGGATAAGAAAATGGAGGCCTGGACTGGGAAATTACTTCCAAAGACCGCCAGAAAGTCCAGCAAAGCTGAGCCTAGAACCCAGTTCTTGGCCTTCAGTCCACTATAAACTTTCAACAAGAGTCCCAGAGACTACAAGGCACAGATCCTGGAGAAGGTCCCACTGGGTGCCTGGTATTTTTGCTGTTTTTAGCTACTGTCAAGTTGGCCTGAGATTTTGGGTCTCGGGCAGCAGAGGGTGCTGTGGGAACACACAGGAGAGGCACCCAAGGCGCCTGCTGAATTGCCTAACAAGAGATTTCTCAACGGTGTAAGAAGCAAATGATCTGCCGCTTGCTGTGGTCTGTGCTTCCTCTTTAGCTCAAGCAATGGAGCGTCAACTCTGTTAGGGAACGTACCTAACATGTTTAGTACACAGAAACGTAATCCTACATCCTGGTCTTCCTAAATCCCGCACATACTGTGACTCGCTTATCAAGTTTGCTGAGTATGTAGCATCAGTGTCTGGCACATAGTAGGCACTCAACCAATATTTGTTGTATGAATGTATGAAAATATAACCACTAATAAAAGCTCTTATTTACTAAGCTCTTCCCTGGGGTCAGGCACTGTTTTAAACATTTTACCTGTGTATCTCAGTTACTCGTCCTAACACAATGAGTAGGTCCTGTTATTATTCAATTTTCCTGGTAAGGAAACTGAGGCACAGAAAGGTTAAGTACATTGCTTGAGGTCACACAGCAAGTCTGAACTGTTAACCATGTACCATCCCAGCAACACAAGGCTCAGGGCTGAGGCGTAGCGCACACAGGGCTGCCATAAGCTTTCAGATGGCAGAGAGGTCTGTAGGGGCTGAGGCCATGAGGGAAAGCTGCATGAAAAGACTGAATGGAAGGATGGATAGAGGTAGAAGAGGAGAAACATCTTCTGTGATGGAGGGGAAGAGATTGGGGGTTAGCAAGAAGGTAAGGGAAGATGCCCACAGTAGGTCCTCCATACACACTTCCTGGGGCAAGGGGTAGGGGGGCCAGAAAGGATGTGCAGTCATCCAGAAAATGTGAGTGTCTTCCATGTGCCAAGCCCTGGGGGAACACAAACATTAATAAGAACCTCCCTACAGAGTCGCTGGGTGGTGCAAACGGTTAACACTCTCAGCTGATAACCGAGAGGTTGGAGGTTCGAGTCCACCCAGAGGCACCTCAGAAGAAAGTCCTGGTAATCTACTTCCAAAAAATCAGCCATTGAAAACCCTATGGAGCACAGTTTTCCTCTGACACACATGGAGTCGCCATGAGCTGGAATCAAGTTGAGGACAATTGACAGATGATGATGATTAAGGGTCTACGGGCAATTATTAGACGTAGGCAAGATACGTCAATACTTTATTCCAGGAAAGGAAGTGTTGGGAGCCAGCAGCGGTATGGGAAAAAAAAAAAAAACACGCCAGAAAATGCAGAGGAGGAAGAGATGGTTTCCAATTAGGAAAAATAGAGCTGGATTCCTGGACTAGGGAGCTTTGAACTGAGCAGGAAGGGAAGAGTCAGGTTTCACCCTGTGGAGTGGGGGGGCAGGGGGGCGCTCCTGGGGTCAGAGCACCGAGAGAAAGGCCTGGGGGTGGCAAGACAGGAGGTGGCCCTGGGTGCCCATTGTGGGGAGGTGAAGGGAGCTGGCCAGCCAGGGATGGCCCATTCCCGTAGGGCTGTGTGAGCCCGGCAAAGCCATCTCAGCCATCTACCATGGGCAATGGGGAGACAAAGGGTGTTTGAAGCAGGAGAAGGAACCATCTTGCCCACCAGGAGGCTACATAAAGATAGCTGTCTTCTAAGTAAGTTGTAAGTTCTTTAAGGGCATGGACCCCAAACATTGGGAACAGAATTTAGAAGAGCAATACTGATAGACACTAGACAGATATTCAGAAACATTCACCCTGAGAATCTGTCACTCATATTGCAAGAGGGTGGTGTCACTGGAATCATCCTTAACTGGGAACCAGGATACTGGGCTTGGTTCCTGCTATGCCTGCATCCAGCTATGTGACCTTGGTCAGGTCCCTCTCTGGGTATCAGTTTCCTCATTTTCAAAGAAGGGGGCTGACCCCTCTGAGGGTCCATCTAACCCTGGCTGACACCCTCTGAATCTAAGAACCCCAGCCAACCCTTCACCCTCCTGCGAGCACTTATCACTGGGTCAGGCAAACTTAGGGAAAGGCTCTGTCCATACTTGTTGGGCTGAACGGTATGGCTAGGCTGTCCACATCAGAGAGCAGAGGGGGCTGGGGACCCCATTCGTCCTCAGCCCACCAACTACTGTCTATCGTAGGTGGCACAGTGCCCCACACCCTCAGCAGGGCAGGGAGAGGAGCAGAGGGAGGGACGCTTGCTGGCTGGCTTGCTCTGGGAGGTCAGGAGGTTGAGATGCAAGGGAGGTGAACTAACCAACCAGCTTCCTCCCAAACTGGCTCTAAGCTCAGGGCTTGGAATTTCACAAAAAGGCAAAAGGAGCTATGTGAACACTTCCTGTTCCACCCCAGTCCCCAATCTGCCTTCCTGGCAGTGACAGCCCAGTTCAGCCCCGCCCAGCCCAGGGTTACCACATGGCTCACCTGTGAAGCAACCATCCCCATGAGAGGGATGAGTATCCCGGCCAGGGACTGCCTATAATTGCTGAGCCTCCTCTGCGCCATCAAACTCCTGTGTGGCTCCTTGGTGTGGTAAGTGAGCGGCCAGCAATCCTGTTCTGGGAGCCTGCTGCCAATTCTTTCTTTTCTCCTCCACGAGACTTCTTCTCAATCCTTCCTCCTGGAAGCCCTCCTTGATCCACCCCACCCACTTTAAAGGTTCCTTCACATTTCCTTACAGCATGTTCTTCTAGAGCCTCCTGCCCTCAAATACTTTGCTTTTTTGGCTATCCTCGTGTATTCTAAAAATGATTTTTTCACACGTGTCCCCGAGGGTCGTCTCCCAGTTAAGTTGCAGCCTGTGTGTGTGTGTGTTTCACCCTTCTTTCCTATGATTAGCCAGTGGGAGGCACCACGGAAGCCAACAGTATTTTCTTCTAAGCATCCCACCTCTTGCTTCTCCACTACTCAGACAGAGTGCGAAAAGGTGGCAGGCAATATGTCCCAGATGGAACACAGCATAGAGACCATCATCAACGTCTTCCACCAGTACTCGACACGGCTGGGGCACCCAGACACCCTGAACCAGAAGGAATTCAAACAGCTGGTGCAGAAGGAGCTAGCAAACTTCCTCAAGGTAGGGCTTAACTCCTGGCAGGCCTGGCCCAGCCTCATGGCAGTTTGAGCTGAAAGAGAGAGGTGGGAGGTGCAGTCTGCAGTGGTCATGAAGAAAATCCTAGCTCCTTCAACTTAGCCTCCAGAGGTAGTGAGTGCCCGTCACTCAAAAAAAGAAAAACCCATTGCCATCAAGTTGATCCTGACTCATAGCCACCCTATACGACAGAGTAGAATTGCTCCATAGGGTTTCCGAGGAACTACTGGTGGATTCAATCTGCCAACCTTTTGGTTAGCAGCCATAGCTCTTAACCACTGTGCCTCCAGGGCTCCATGGATGGGTAGAGGTGACTTATTTGGTGTGGACAAGTAAGTCCTCCTTGAGGAGGTGACAGTTGAGCTGGGACCTGAATGGTGAGAAGGGGGACAACCAAGGATGACCCTTGACATGAAGCTGAGGGGATTCCAAGCTTCAGATGGAAACTTGGTGGAGAAGACAAGTGAGGGTTTTTGAAATCCCAAGGGCCTATCATCAATCAAAATAGTGTTTGGAAAAGCCCCCAGCACAGAGAGGGTATGTAGAAAGCACTCAGTAAATGTGAGTTTTTTTCCTTGCCCTCAGAATGATTGGACAGTTCCAGAAGGAAGAGGGATTAGTTCCACCAGCCATTTTGTTTTCTTTTCACTCTATGAATTTGGGATAAACAAAGGCCTGAGCTAAGAGAGATGGGACGCCTGGGTCCTAGTTCCACTTCCATTTCTGGAGCAGGATGTCCTGGGTTAGGTCACCAGCCCTCTCTGGTTCCACCCCCACCCCTCACCTTGGTGAGGTGGAGAATTGCAGCAGTTAAGAGGTGTGAGAGATGTTGACAGAGGATCTCAGGCAAGATGGGTACATCAGCATAGACAAGAGAGGGTGCAGCCAGGAGGCCATGTATCCATCGGACTTGATGGGCAAGGCTCTCCAATGTATGACCCCATACCTGCTCCCCCACCCTGCCCCCACCCCTGCAGAAGGCCTACAAGGGAAGCAGGGACTTGGTGGGTTAGCTGTTCGGGAATGAGTGCTCTGACCAGGCAATGGCAAAAGTCCAAAAAAGTCCAGCACACTGAAGTACTGCCCAAGCAGGAGGGATCCTGGGAGGTCAGCTAGGCACTTCCATGGCTTACGGGTGGGGGAATTAGGCCCAGAGATGGCAAGGGACTTACCTAAGGTGGCCCAGCCAGTGAGTGACAGAACTTGAACTAGAACCTAGGTCTTCTGATGCCACCTCTTTCCTACCACACCAGGATCATTTCACCTTGCCTCCCATCTTCCTTTGAGTACTGTATTACACCCTTTGGGGTCAGCAGACTATCCACACTGCTCTCTGTCCCCACCCAAGATCCTCTGCCATCTGTTTCCTAAGGAGCTTCCCTTAGGAAAAGAAAATCCTTTCACTAATTAGTTACCTTGAGAGGGAGGGGAAAGGAAGGGAGGGGAAGGAGAAAAGGGAGAAGAGTGGAGGGCATGGGACAAAACTGGACTGTGACATCAGACTTGAGTTTGAATTTCCATTCTTCTGCTTCTAAGACTTGTTAATCTGAAAAAATTAGCTTTTCTCAGACGTGGTTTCCTCAAGTCTTCCTCAAGGAAGATATGAATTCTACCTGTGAAAGTTGTAATAAGGACCCAATGAGCTGTCCTTTCTATTGTGTGACCTTGGGCAAATCACTGGACCTCAGCTTCCTCTTCTGTAAATGGAGATAACAAAGGAACCTAAGCGGTAGGGTTGTGTGGGGAATAAACTGAGAAGTGTCTAGTACATGCTTAGCGTCCACAACTCAGTGGGCACTCAGTCCATAGTTTTAATATTTAAATTGAGCTCCAGGGGCCAGGTTTCCTTGTCCATTTACCGTCTGTCATTTGCTGTGTACCCAGTCCCCACCCATGGCCACACCCTGCCCTGACCACTCTCTCTGCCCCACCCACAGAACGAGAAGAAAAATGATGCAGCCATCAAAGACATCATGGAGGACCTGGACACCAATGTAGACAAGCAGCTGTCCTTCGAGGAGTTCTCTATCCTAGTTGGGCAGCTGACTGAAGCCTCCCATGAGAAGATGCATGAGGGCCACCCCAAAGGGACAGACCACAGCCACGGTCCAGGCCTCGGAGGGAAGAGTGGCCTTGGCCAGGGCCATGGCCACAGCCACAGCCACGACCACGACCATGGCCACAAGCACTAATCAGGAGGCCAGAATACCCTTCCCTGGGACCAGCCTGGGCTCTGCATTATGGGGAAAGGGAAATGGCTTCACTCCCAGAGTTGTCATGCCACACAGCCTTAGTTGTGGTCTGGGGTCTGGGGCTGAACAATAAAGCCTTCCTCCCAACCAGTGCTTGGCTTGCTTCTTCCACCCACCCCCATCCCGACCTGTCCTACCCAGAGGTCTGAGCATTGCTCAGCTCTGCATCCTAGCTATGGCCCAACTGCTTCATTTGGTAAACACAAAATGACAAACAGCAGCAATGCCAGTCCACCTTGAGCTCACCTCTCTGATCATTCCTCACCTCTAACTTCAGGCCCCACTGCTCAGATCCTAGTCAACCCACCTCAGCTCAGGACCTCCCTGATCTAGCCTGCAAAATTGGCCCTTGTCATCGTAGAATGCAAAAGGGAGGTCTCCCTCCCTTCAACATTCCAGTCACTTCCTCACTAGTCCCTGGCCTCTCTTCACCTAGTGCTGTCTATACAATCAACTCTTCCTTCTGGAAGTTTCCAGAAATGGACCGAGACAGTGTTGTGTCTGGGAAAGAATGCTGGAGTGGGGAAAGCACAAATTAGGTGTGTTTACCCACAAACTCATTCTGGAGCTAAGAGAGCTGTTGGGCCTACACAGACCTGGTATCCAAACTATGGCTGCAAGGGGGTTGATGTGAAGGGAGGGATTCACAAGCGCAGAAGTCAAGGAGTTCAGCCCCACCCTCACCCCAGGCAGGATTAAAAAAAAAAAAAAACAGTTGTCACGGACTAGATTCCAACTCATGGCAAGCCCATGAGTGTCAGAATAGAACTGCACTCCATAGGGTTTTCAATGGCTGATTTTTTGGAAGTAGATCTCCAGATCTTTCTTCCAAGATGCCTCTGGATGGACTTAAACCTCAGGGATGTTAGAGTGAAAAGAACAGCTGCCTGCCACTCAGCAGACATGAGCTCCAATCCCGGTTCTGCAGCTAAAAGTCTCAATAGTTACAAGGAGGTTTCACTTTCTATCCAGAGAGTTTTTCAGGCCTGAAGATTCTCATTTTAAGCCTCGAGGCAAGCTGACCAATGTGATGGGACCAGAGGTTCCTCCAGTCTCTGGTCAGTAGCTGAGCACTCAAGCCAGCAAGGCCTCTCACTCCTCTCTGTAGAACCTGCAGCCAACCTGATGTCTCAGCTCCTCAGGGCTGCAGCTCCTGCTCCAGCACATCCAGTGACTCCTCTGCCATCCTTCCCTGTCTTCTGGCCTGAGAGCTTCACCATAGAGTCCCTTCCCAGGTCACAGTCAGGCTCGGGTAGGCCTTGCCAAGACCAGGGTCCAAGGCAGAAAGATGGCTTCAACAGAATTAGAATTTGGGAAACTGGACAAAGATTAGCAGGCACCTGTTGTTACATGCCATCGAGTTTGTTCTTACTCATAGCAACCCTATGTACAACAGAAGGAAACACTGCCCGGTCCTGCACCATGCCCACAATCATTGTTGTGCTTGAGCCCATTGTTGCAACCACTGTGTCAATCCATTTCTTTGAGGGTCTTCCTCTTTTTCACTCACTCTTAACTTTACCAAGCGTGATGTCCTTCTCCAGGGACTGTCCAAAGTATGCAAGACGTAGTCTTTTCATCCTTGCTTCTAAGGAGCATTCTGGCTGTAATTCTTCCAAGATAGATTTGTTCATTCTTTAGGCAGTCCATGGTATTTTCAATGTTCTTTGTCAACACCATAATTCAAAGGTGTCAATTCTTCTTTGGTCTTCCTTATTCATTGTCCAGCTTTCGCATGCATATAAGGCAATTGAAAATCCCATGGCTTGGGTCAGGCGCACCTTAGTCTTCAAGGTGACATCTTTGCTTTTCAACACTTTAAAGAGGTCTTTTGCAGCAGATTTGCTCAGTGCGATGCATCTTTTGATTTCTTGACTGCTGCTTCCATGGGTGTTGATTGTGGATCCAAGTAAAATGAAATCCTTGACAACTTCAGTCTTTTCTCCGTTTATCATGATGTTGCTCATTGGTCCAGTTGTGAGGATTTTTGTTTTCTTTATGTTGAAATGTAATCCATACTGAAGGCTGTGGTCTTGGATCTTCATCAGTAAGTGCTTCAAGTCGTCTTCACTTTCAGCAAGCAAGGTGTGTCATCTGCAAAACGCAGGTTGTTAATGAGTCTTCCTCCAATCCTGATGACACGTTCTTCTTCATATAATCCAGCTTCTCAAATTATTTGCTCAGCATACAGACTGAATAGGTATGGTGAAAGGATACAACCCTGACACACGCATTTCCTGACTTTAAACCACGCAGTGTCCCCTTGTTCTGTCCAAACAACTGCCTCTTGATCCATGTACAGTTTCCTCATGAGCACAACTAAGTGTTCTGGAATTCCCATTGTTATGATCCACACAGTCGAATGCTTTTGCATAGTCAATAAAACACAGGTAAACATCTTTCTGGTATTCTCTGCTTTCAGCCAAGATCCACCTGACATCACCAAAGATATCCCTTCTTCCATGCCCTCTTCTGAACCCAGCCTGAATTTTTGGCATTTCCCTGTCGATATACTGCTGCAGCCAGCCACTTTTGAATGACCTTCAGCGAAATTTGCTTGTGTGTGATATTAATGATATTGTCCGATAGTTTCAGCATTCGATTGGATCACCTTTCTTGGGAATAGGCTTAAATAGGGATCTCTTCCAGTCAGTTGGCCAGGTAGCAGTCTTGGCATAGAAGAGTGAGAACTTCCAGCACTGTATCCATTTGTTCAAACATCACAATTGATATTCAGTCAATTCCTGGTCCCCCATTTTATATATGAAGAAACTGAGCATAGAGTGGAGAAGGACTAGTCCAAGGTCATACAGTCACAGAGTTGATCAAAAGAGTGCAGTGAGAAAAAGGAGGTTGAATCCCATCTGCTCCACCAGGTGCATCTCCCCAGCTCTTTCCCCATCGCTGAAGAAATGGAGGATCAGATTCCAGCTCTCACCACTGCCTGGCTGTAAGTAGGTCCCAACCTATCTGCAGTTGTCCTGGGCAGGCTCTGCTCCAAGGGCTCAGAGGGCTGTGCTGTGGGTGGGAATATTTAAGGGCTCACACTTAGAGAGCATGAGGGTGTTTCCAGGAATTAGTCCAGGTTGTGAGCTTGGGTAGCAGAGTTTGGAAACCCTAAACAGTCCCTTCTACACCTGCTTTGGGAACCTGACACCTGGGGACACTCACCTTCTTTCAGCCCTTCTACCTTTACCCTCATGTCCAGGAAGCAACAACCATCTTTATCCCTTTCTCAGTGCAGCAGGGTACACCAGAAAGGGAATCAGCCTGGGAGATGAGAGGCCTGGGTTCTATTACTGGCTTTGCCAGGGCTAGATACTTTTGGCATGTGAACCACTGACTCCTCTCTGCCCACCGCTACTTATCTCTATGTGCCAGAAATGTCTGCCTATGACTCTGCCTCTCCTACTGGACTGTAAGCTCCATGAGGGAAAGTCCATGGCATCTGTCTTGTTCTCTGCTTTATTCCCAGCACTCAGAATAGTGCCTGATGCACAGTAGGTGCTCAACAAATATTGATCGAATAAATGTTTTACAATGTCCTACATGCTCCTTGCCCTCTTCTCAGGGGAAGGTACGGGGAAGGAGGGAGAAGGAGAGCGGGATTGAAACCAGCAAACAGAAGGCTTCTGCATTATCAGCACAGACTCTCAAACAGGAAGGAAGGGGGCAGCAAATTTATGGGAATTTGATGCACACATAAAATTTTGTTCAAGGAAACTTTGTTCAATCAGAGTAGTTCTGCCTTTATCTGCTACACTCTGGAAGCTTCCATTTGAATAAAGAGATCAGTCCTTAAAAAAAGTTTGAAAATTATTGCTTTAACCCAACATGTCCCAACTCCATCCTTGAGCCATTCTCCCCAACACCCCTGATAAGTGGCTGAACTGCTCGGGAAAAGAGAACTTCCCCCATTGCCACTGACTCTTAGAAAGTCCTTCATTTCATCGAGCTGAAATCGGCTTCCTTGTGACTTCCAGCTATTAATCCTAGTTTCCCTCCCACACCCTTAGAGACACAGAATAAATCAAATCCTTTATTATTCTTTCTTCCACCCAACCATCCACCCATGTGTCTATCTGCTTATTGAAAACACTTGCTCTAAATTACATCACAGCTTTCTCCAGCCTTTGCACCAGGAATTGTCTTCCCCATGCTGGTATCTCTAGTAAGTCCTTTGTAATCCACTAAGGCACAGGGCCAGCGCCTTTGCCTCCATGAGGACTTCCCCATCCACCCTTCCTTCTCAAGAATACAGGGACCACCTCCTCCAGGCCTCCTGTAACTCTCTCATACTTCTACTATTGCACTTCAAATATGGAATTACTATCCCTTGTCTGCACGTTGGACTGTGAGCTTCTGCGGGAGGAACTATGGCTGATTGCTTCCCATCCCCAGGTCCCGGTATGGGAAATGGTCTCAGTGAGCATCTGTGGGTGAACAAGTGAAGGTAGGATGGTCCTAGGACCTTGTGGAGCTGGAGGCTGGGATTGGAGCAGAAGCGTATCCTCTGCAGGGAGGGGGGTAGTGCGTGGGTGGGGATGGCTTTGAGGAACGAGTGGTTTACTGCTGTCTGGTGACCTGGAGTCAGGAGAGGGTAGAGCAGCCAAGCACAAGATGGCAGGGAGGACAAACCTTCTTAGATGTTGAGAGTTCTCCGTTTTGCCTCATCCTCTGCCAACTCAGCATGATTATAGGAAGGTTGCTCTAGACCCCAGGGGAAGATTTGACAGCAAGACCCTTCTACAGGGCCCTGTGGGATTTTCCTTAAATAACATTTAACAGAGCTGGTCAAGGCAATTTAACCCCTTCCATCCTATTAACTCCTTCCATTCAAAACACTGGTTCTCTTGAGTAGAGAGAAGTAAACCTACTCCCCTAACTAGAGAGCTAGAACTTCAGTCTCAAGGTTAAGATTAGTTAGTCCCATTCCCATTTGAGAATTTGTGGTTACCTCTGTGATTATGATTAGTCATTTGCATTGGGCAAATCAGCTGCAGAAGACTTCTTTAAAGTGTTGAAAAGCAAAGATGTCCCCTTGAGGACTAAGGTGCACCTGACCCAAGCCATGGCGTTTTCAATCACCT